GCATTCAACATTGCCAAGTCGCGTGCTTGCTATGGTCGGAGACATATTGGTTGTCGTCATGAGCATCATGTGTGTGGTGGTTGCCCTGGTCGTGGTCGTTGTGGTTGTCAGCATTGTGACTGTGGCTGTGGCTTCGCCCGTGCTGCCCCTGCTGTTGCCGGTGCTGTTGCTTTTGCTGTCACGGCTGCGGGGTGGTGTCATGTTCGCTCGAAGGAACGAATCGGCAATGGCAACGGCAGACACATTGTCACAGAGCTGAGGGAGATTGTACAGTGGAGGGGAAGCAGCAAGAGGGGCCTTTGTGAAACAAGCGCAAATCACAAGCAGCAAAAGTCACGTTTATGAAGCAAGCGCATAAGACAACAAGTTGTTGAGAACAAGACTTCATCGAACCAGGTCACGTTTGGCTAATAAAGGTTGTTCAAGGGGCATTTCAAAGGACTCCGATTTAAGTCACGTGTGGACTAGGCACAGCAATCCAACACCTCCGTTTGACTTGAGAAGCGCGTGTTTATTGAAAACCTCACACTGCTGTTGTTTGTTTCACCTAGTTCTGTCAAGAACCAAGTAAAGTCCCTTTTGACACCCAGGGAGTTGAGCCAGTGGGTAGTCTTACAAACCACAAACGTTGGACTTGGTAGCCGCCTTCATCTGTCCAGGTGCCAATGGCGAGCCGCCGAGTGCAAAACCTGCGCCTTGGTTGCAGACCCGCAAGAAACCCGTCACTGCTATTTGGGGTATGTGTTAAGATGGAGGGCCCAATAAACTGGAGCAATTCATTTGCCAAAGCCAACCTTTAAATCGTTTGGTTTCCCTGATTTGGCCCATATGTAGTCAAGGCTCCAAATGGTAAGCCTTCTTAGCCTCCAGGCCTGGAGCAAGTGAGCAAATCAGCATTACTATCAGCATTTTCCCCTCATACCCCAGTTACAGGCGTTTTTGTTGGTGCCAATGGCCACCAGGTGTGGGTGGTTTGTCCTGGTATTTTTCAGGTGGGTGGCTTGTTTTAATTAAGGGTGGACCTCCCTCCAAAGAAGAATTTCGGTTTTCCTTTTCATTTCCCTTTAAACCAGGAATAAGCGGTACCTTCAAAAAGGACAGACCCATCTGGTCTCTTTCTTTCCAGTTTCAGCCGTGCATTATGCTCGGGCTTTTCAATGCAGAGCCAAGCCGGGCCATTGAAACCACGTCATGGTACACACGGCTCGTTGCTCTCGGCTTCCTCTTTAAAACTCGTCCAGGGGCCAGTTGTTTGAACCTCTCCGGGCTTCTCAAAATCGGGACCGCCTACTAGCACCCAACTTCTTTTCCCGGTCCAAAATCCCAGTCCAGAAAGACTGGAAACTGACCTTGACTCTGGGAGGTTCTGTGGCTAGCCCCCTTAGTAGTGCCCTTTTGTACTTTTTTGGGGGGAGGTTGCCCTACTACAATAGACTACCAAAAAAAAGTACCCTTATTCTCACCTCTCTACTGGATGACCTAATTGGTTTCCAGCCCCTGGCTCGCATTTCCCCACAAGGGATCTCAGGTGCCCTTCGAGCTCGCGCGGGTGCGCAGCAGCTTCGGGCAAGCGGCTCCCGGAGCCGTGCAAAGCGTCACGCCCGGGTCCCGGGGCGGCCGAAGCGACTGGCTCGACCTGGTGGAGGCAGAAACCAAGTCGTTCAAAACCGACCTTGTAAGCTTTTGGTTTTCCTTGGTCCACTTCTAGCAAATGTGAAAAGGCTAGCATACACCCCGCAGAAGTGTTGTTCTTGACCTCAGCGGCGCAGAACGGGCTCTTTTTCATCGGGAGAAACTTTGGCGCTGTCGTGGCCCCGGAAGACATGGACATGCCCCGCAAGGGCTTGGCCAGATGCATCCGCATCCATGCGAATCCGCTTTTCTCAAGAGATCCCCTGCCACGGTGGCGCTGCCAGGCAACAATACCGCATCAGTGACGGGCCAGCTGAGAAAGGTCCTGGCTTGCTTTTTGTATCTTAGCCTGGTTGTGACTGTGGGTCGGATTTCGGGTTGCTGGTAGATTGCTTTCAAGTGAAACGCAAGTGAAGCAATCATTTGGAGGAGGCTTCTACGTCATGGCAGGCAAGATGTGCTTCACCACTTGCAGACGCCCTAAAGCCGAAGCACGTAATTTAAGCCAGATATTGATGCCATGTAAACAGAAGCGAATGCACATGTGTATATATATATATAGATATGTGTGTGTGTCTATGCACATATGACTTGAATGCACCCATCCTCTCAATGTAGGTTGGCCATTTCCACTTAGAGAGTTTCTAGTAAGAGCACACCCCCAAGCTCACTAGGAGTTGTGGACGTACGGAAGCCACGCAGCTGACTTGGCGCGCCATGCGCGTGGCCGCGCGGGCGCGAGCCGGCGCCCCTGCGAGCTTTGGGCGGGCGCGGGGCCTTTGGACGTCGCCGGTGCTGCGAGCTCGGACGCAGGACGGGTGAAGGCGAAGTCTATGAATCCCTGGACCCCAAGTTGACTCGTGCATTCGCCGTTACTTATGGCTTAATTATAGGAAGACAGCCAGTGGGCATGGTTTCAGGCACAGACATACGCAAGCAGGTGTCTGTTCGATTAAACTCGAACAAGCCCCGTGGGCTTACATCGCCCCGCGCAAGAAGTTTGTGCTTACATGCGCACTGAGCCTTTCCAAGGCCATAGCTGGCGAACGTGCCGGCCATTTTTGGAAGCCCTCAGGGACTTTGGAGCAGCCTGAAGCTGGCGCCCACTGGCAATCCCGGATTGTAGAAAGTGGTTTGCGTTGGGGGTCTCATTCTCTGGGTTGCTTTTAAAGGGAAGCCAAAGGAGACCCCTTGTTCGGAGGGTTCCTCTATGTTGAGGAAAACCCATAAATTTACTTTGCCCAGATTCCTTTTCTGATGCCGCCAGGCCCATTTAGAAGCAATTCACGGTTGATGGGGACTCCTTGGCTCTGACGCATTCCCAGGTCGCCGCAAAATGTGGGTTTCCTTTCGTTGCCATTTTGCCAAAGAGCGGCCCACCAGGTGAAACGCGGTTTGTTCCGAACATCGCCACGGGGAACCCAACCATTCCGCCCGGTGAGGATGACCTGGCACGAGGAGAGCGCGCGGCTTCGAAGACCAACGACACGCTGAGCAAGCGCGGGTCCCCAATATGCACCGGAGGCGGAGCTCTTTTGATTGTGCGGCTTTAAAGTTCTTTTTTGCGAGGGGCGTCCCTAAGGTTTCCCGCAAGACACCCCCAAAAGGGCCTGCAGGGGAAGATTTTAATCACTTCAAGAGCCGGTTTAAGTGAATCTCCTTGATGGGTGTGAGGGAAGGGAACCCGAATGCGGGAAGGCGCATGGTTCCGAGCTCAAAGGTTTCCAAACCTCAAGTTATTTCATGTGTGAACCGTTTTCTGAAACCAGATCTGGTGAATGGTCTGTGTTGGTTTCATTTCAGGAATCGTTCTTCCACCCTGCCTGCTCCCTCCGTCCTTGGAGCGCGCGTTCTTGTTTTAGCAGGTTTTAAACATCGTCTTGGCCTCGTTGAAAAGGAGTTTCCTCTCCATGTGGTGTTCAAGGGAGGCATGCAACTCACTTGCACCCGAATCCCTTGGGCCTTTGGGTCCCGCAGTTTGGCCCATGGTGTTGGGTCCATGTGTTGCCTCGGTGTTTTGGAGCCCGGTGGTTTGGAGGAAGTGAGTTGTCCCATTCACCCTCTACAAGAACGTACAAGAACCAGGGCTTCAAGCCCCCAAACCGCCAATCCAAACCACGAATTCGGGGGAAGCTGAGATGACGTGTTTTCTCGTTTTTCCTGTGGGCAAGGCAGACAAAGTGCACAGCCCCATTTCCAAAAACCAAGTTTTGGCCGTCCAAAGCAGGCTTGTGCACAACGGCGGTATTTGTTGGCTTATCCTTTTCCCGGACCATGTGTATCTGTCACTCCTGTTGGTTTTTAGACCACGTGGGTGTTGAAAAGTCCATTGTCCACTGTTTTATTCACTGTCAAGATCCGGGCTAATCCAGGTGTTGCGGGAGGAGAACAGGAAGCTTGGGGAGGGCTCATTGAAACTCGGAAGGTCCCACTGGGTTCAGATTTACTCTCCCTACCATAGCAGCCATAGCAGGGCTTGGGGGTGCTCCAAATGCGGGAGCTTTCACATCTGATTGTCGCCATCGAAAACACAAAAATCATGCAAGGTCTACGCAAATCCCCCCCAATCGTTGCATTTGTTGAGAAAACCCCAGGACCCACAATCTCAGAAATTGTGCGTCTCTGGCGGTTTGCCACTCCTGCCAGGAGCAGTTTCTTACTGGTAGCAGTGTTATGCAGGATCAAGGCTAAGGGCATTGATGCGCAAAAGGCAATACCTCCCTGGAGCATTCTCGGCGGTCATCTTTTTTTTAATTGGGATGCCACAGGTTCGCTGGTATGTACGTGGGCAAGAACTTGGGCGTGACCAAGAAGCTCGGCCAGCCAACGTTTTCGTTGAAGGTGTCTGGCGTAGGTCAACGCGCAGGCATGGGTCAAGCCTCTGGCCTTTTGGAGCCAAAGAAAGGGGCTTGGCTTGGAGAGTGAGGTTCCATAGGGAAAACCCTGGATTCGCAAAGCATAGTAAGAAACACCTGGTGCTTTGACCTGTAGACTTCCAAGGCGTCATCAAAAAGGCTCTTGACTAAACAGGCGACTGGTTGCGGTGAACAGGCGCGGCGGGTCTTGCGTTTCTCTCCTGTGTTTGGAACATGTCCCTATGTTTGGGAGATATCAGGTAGCCCTTACTTGGTGGGTTGGATTCGTGGTTTGGGGGTTTGAAGCCCGGTTCCTTCGAAGCCTACATGGGAAGGTGCTTTCCATTGTTCAAACCGCCAAACCAAACCACCAAATAGGGGCAAGTTGAGAATTGGCTTTCTGAGTGGCTGGTGTGCATGTACGCTGCTTAAATCCCTTTCTGGCCTACCCCCAATGTTCTAATTACTGTATGGAGAGTTGGGGGTGCCCACGTTTTTCTCTTTGGAGTTGGGATGCAGCTGCCATATGCGTTGACGACCTAAGGAGCTATGCCAAGAACTTCGAAAAGGTTTTTGGTCGAGACGACCGAGGCGGCTTTAGTGGGGAGCGGGGGGTTTCTGGCCACAAAGGAAGCAGGCTGTGGATGTGTTATGTGTTTGATATCTTAGATTTGCTCCATTCAGGTGTTGTGTGATTTGTTTCACGTGGTGTTCGTGTTGGTCGCAAAGGAAAAGGATCATGACTGGTGAGTGCCTGAGTTTTGCCAGGCACCTGAAGCAAATAAAATATATTGCTTCAAGATTTGGACACCATAGTTACAGTGCAGTGGTCATGTGTTTTAGAATGCAGGTACCCATGCTGAAGGTTCCAATGATTCCAGAGTGCATACCGCAGGGGATCATTTGGGTGTGGGTGTTCTTGTTTGCTGGGCCCTTTTAGAGGGAAGATGAGGGAAGCAAACACAGCAGGGGATTTTGCTGGGCCCCTCTCAGAGGGAAGCAAAGTGGAGGGGCTCGGTTCGCCTGCTTGAATGTTGACCCAGGAATCCACCTGGTGGACTGGTGTTTCCATAAAGTGGTTGTTCGCCTCGAACATATGGCGCCTATCAATCAAGCGGGTTTACTAGTATTCAGCTGCAAAATCTTTCAGACGACCCCAAATGCGTGTCAAAATAGAGGGGACCCAAACAACTGATGGTTCTCCTGTTGGTTTCCTTTTAAATTAACACCAAAAGCAGCGTCGCAAACAATCCTCTCAGCTTCCCCAGAATCAGCTCCCCTTTTTGCTTTTTTTTTTGGCTTTTTTGGGGATCCCATTGTTTTCCACTAATCAGGCAAATAAAAATATACATATATATATATATATATATATTTGCTGGGGTCCGAATTCCAGCCTAGTCATCAGAGGGACATGACATACCCAAGACAGGGTCCATTTTGAGAAACGAAGCACGCACAAATCGGAGTTCGTGCAGTGAATTCGCCTCAGGCGAATCCGAAGCTTCGGACAGCTCCGTGGTGGAGTTCGGAACGGGCCCGCTGGGCCTGGAGATTTCATGGACGGCCCCACCGGCGCCTGGGCAAAAAGTGGCCTCGATTGCGGGCTTGCGGAACTAGTTAAGAGGGGAAACTGCCCAAAAGCAATTGGCCCCAACCCAAAGTCCAACCCAATGCCAGGATCCGAGTTTTCAGTCGATGGCCCCTTTCAAACGGCCTCACTCCCGATCGAGTCCACCCACTTGGGAATCGGCGTCAGGTGGTTGCGGCGGTGGTGCCCGGAGGTGCGGCGGAGGTGTTGAAGCTGCAGCCGGGCCACGTGGTGCTGGAGATCAACGGCACCCAAGTCGCGGCACCTGGGATTGAGACCCAGAGACCCAGGAAGGCTCGCTATGGAAACTGCGGACGGCATGTTTTCTTTTTTGCTGGTAGTGACGGCTGTTGGAACACTCGGCGGCTGGATTCCGTGTTTTTTGAAGCACTTGGAACTGGTTCAGACCAAGCTGTTGAAACAAATGTTACCTTCGGCAACGCGAGAGACCTCGAGACGGGCCCATTGAAATTCCCAACCTTGGCCTTTGCGAGGGGGTGGCGGAGAGTGAGAAGTGCAAAGCACGCTGCTGGCAGAAAGATTCTTAGTGGCCCTCGAATCGACCTGACATGATCTTTGATTCCCGAGTTGTTGTGTTTCTTTTGGGTTGGGGGCCCAAAGGCTATACCGTTTATTTTGCGAATTGGGGCAGTTTCCAGCCGCCCGACTCTGTAAAGGATTCATGGGGTCCAGGCAAGATGTTGGTGCAAATTGTAGCGGGCCTGAAAACGTCAATCGAGATCCATGGACTTTGTCTCCTTGGAGTTCCCTAATTTCCTGTTTTGGCGTAGAAGCTTTTGCCGAGATGCCTTTGGGCTTTTCCCACCACTCCCATGCTGCCGCCTCCGGCTGGCTGAGGAAGCCTTGCCCGAGATGGAGGCGATTCGGAGCAAGCAAGGGAGCGAGCGCTCAATAGAGACCCACCTGAAATGGCCAAATGGTGAACTTGTTTTGGTCCCATTCAAACTCATCCACAAAAGGGAGTGAGACTGGAGACCTGACCACGATCTTGGCCCTCCGGTTTGTTTGATCGGGCATGTGATTCCCTTTTTTGGCCCATGGATGTGGGAAATTGGCTTTAGGGCCAGATACCCAGGGAGGCCCTTTTGAAGTGAGAAGATGGTCCCACTTTGGTATCACAAAAGTCGTCCCTTTCTGCAGCCATGTGTTGGTGGGTTCCCCCCTCAGCTGTTGAATCGTATTGTCCCTGGTGGCCACTGAACCGGGGCTTCGCACGTGATGCTTCCCTCAGTTGGCCTGCCTGGTGCAGGTTGATTGGGCCGAAGTTTGCTTTGAACAGACACGTATATCACGGTCAGACTTGCTCGGAGGCCCAGAGGACTATGGATCCGTCAATTCGGTTGCAAGGCTGCCATCGGTAAGGGCTCTCATATCGTCGTGACTGTGGCCGCAAGTCTCCCCATATCAGTTTATCTATGCAGGCGAATCACGGCAATTTTAGGGACCTGCATGCAATTACTTCACTTGATTTGTCCCTGACAGTAGGCGACCTCACCCATGCGGAAGGTTGCTTTCATACCAGGCCCTTTCAGATCGGCAACGTATGGGTGTAATTTTTATTTGGGGACCCTTTGGTGGACATCATTTATGTTGGGATTTATGTCCACCAGCCATTTGGGACTGAATTTCTCAGTGAAAAACTGGCCATATGTTGATTTGCCCCGGTTGTTCCAAAGCGCAATGGTGTGGGCCATTGGTGTGGACCCCCAATCAAACTTCAGTACATTCCGCTTACGTGACCAGATTGTAGTTGGCATGGCTAACCACTGTTTGAGATACCGCAAAACGAACAGGCGCACATACTAATGGCCGCTAAAACTTTCCTTCAATCTAAGATGGTTGCACTGCCGTATTACCCCCCGCTAGGATGTACTGCCACGATAGCCACCCTATAAGGGGTACGATGTTTGTCATTGAACTGGTGGGTGCCAGTAGTGGCTTGGGATCATGGACGCCATCTTAGATTGCCGAATTCTGGTTACTGTAGGCAACGCTACATACTGGCAATCCCTACCACTTCCCTTTTTCGAGACAAGCCCAGGCTTCCAGTGTTTTTTTTTGTTTTGTTGTTCTGCTTTTCTGGTTGATAGCTCGCCTGGGCTCCATTTTCGTTGCGTCCTCGGACAGGTCGAGGAGCTCATGCAGCAGCGCCCACTCCGGCTGCGCCTCGGAAAGGTTCAGGATTCCGACAGGACGGGGGCGGGGGCTTCCTGGGGCTTTCCCATGGGTGGGCCGCCCCCATGGAGTCTCCTGCCGGTTTCCTGCAGGCTTTCCCATAGGTGTGTTCTGTTTTTTTGTTTTTCTTCTTTTTTTTCGGGCGAAAAAAGCGGCCATGCACCCGCGAGATATTTGCGTAGGGCGACGTAAGGTTTGAAAAACTTCCAGTTACAGGTGGGCGAAAGTACATGACACAACGCCATCCCCTAGTACGGTAGGTAAAAAGCGTTTCCCTTTACTCGCAAAGGAATTCGCACCATGTACTTTCACCCCTGATGGGGTGGGGAGATGCTCAATGTTTGCTTCCACCAGATGGCAGGACTCAGATGCTCCGGCGCTGGGACCTAGTGAGGCAGCAGGGCGTGGTACAAGTGCCACAGGCGGGGCGTTTCTGGTTGCCAGTGCAGACCGGGTGCGGTTGTTTTTGGAGGCACCCACAATCAGGCATCCCCTCACCAGCCGGCAGGTTTTTTAGGGAGTTTTGCCCAAATAAGCTCTGGGTTGGTTCGGAGTAGCTTTCAGGGAGGGGGTTCCCAACGGGTTTCAGGGAGGTCCGCTGTTGGGGATACCACCTGGGCTTATTTGGATTTCTCATGCTAGTCGTGGTGCCACAGTTAGCCTGCCACGGCGCCCGCCTGCCTGGTTTGATTCGAAGCGTTTACATTTTATTATGCAGTCGTGGTGTTCCATTCTTGGCTATTCGGTTGGATTCAAGTTGATGGGGATCGGGATTTTGCTATTGCTGTCAGTGCTAGCTATGATCGGAAATTCCCATCCTCGGAAGACAAAAGCACTTTTGCCCCGAGGAATGCGGTCTGAGTAGTGCCATTCAAGCAACGCAGCAAGCATGTCCAACCAGAAGCCCTGGTAAATCGCTGCAAAGACCAGGGTGTCCAACCCAGTCCCCTACTATCAGTATGTGGCTATTAATTTTAATAAGGAGCAGGAACACTTCCAATACACTGCTGGTGGACCCAAACTCCTATGAAACTGACGTCCACCAAATGATCCTTGTCCAAGGCAAGTTCGCACCCCATTACTTCTTGCTTTGCAAATGTTTGGGCTTCAAATCCGGGTGCCCTTCAATTCGTCGCTGTCCTTTCATTTTCCCTCCTAAAAGTTTTCAGCTTAAAACGGGTACCCTCAAAAAAGGACACATCTATTCTCAGGTTGGCTTCAAGAGACTCTGACCGCAAAGCCGCGATTTTCTGCGGTTCTCCTTTTGTTTTTTTGTTTCTTTTTTGGGGGGGATGGCGGAGGGTGCCTCCCTTGGGGTTTTCCTTGGAGCGAGAAAACGGTGTGAGGCGATGCCCAAGGACTTGGCCCAGGAGCTGCTGGCCTTCATGCCTCTCGGCCCCGGCTTGGCCCCTCGAAGTCGAGTGGCCAGGTACCTGGCACAAAGGCCCACATATTCTCTGGGTATAACGACCTCACACGACCGAATTCACCCCAAGTGGTGGTTTATGTGGGGAATAGCCCCTCAACCACCTGATTTAAGGTTGGTGCAATATTATATTCACCCAGATATTTCCGGAGTGTGTTCAAAATATGGAACCGCGCAAATGGCGGTTGTCATATCCTGATCCAACTAGTGAACTGCTCCAAATGGGGAACCCATGCGAGTTTCGTTCTCAGACCTCAAGTAAACACAAGAAAACAACAAGCATGCACCTTTTTGAGCAGTTGACTTTGAAGAACAAATTTATTGTTCAATCAAAGCAAAACCGGCACCCCTCAAAATCCGGGCCCTTCAAAGCCTATCCCAAAAGCACAGCCAGTAGCCCATAGTCCAATCAGTTCAATCGCCAGCACACATTCGCAAGGAGCATTTGGATCCATTGCAATTGATGCTTATATTTATTTGCATTTGCAGAAGCTAGGTCCACGTAGATGTCTGGCCTGTTGCGCTACATTAAGCCTGTTGCTTCTGACAGACGGGGAGCTTTGGGCGGTTTCCTCCCTTGTTTGCGTCATGTTGGCCAACATCTGAACTGCACCGTTTGCCCCGGGTTTCGAATACTTGACACACCAGCAGGGGGTGCATGTCCCTTCTTTTCCGGATTCACTTTTCAATGCCCCCCGCCCAGCGCCCAAGCAGCCAGACATGTGCAAGCGCAACTTTGGAACCGCTTCCCGAGACGGACTCCCGCCACACAAATTCGACCCTCTTAGTCGGATATCGACCAGCTTCCCGATTGTTGCGGAGCTTGTTTGGGACTGGTTTGGGGTGTTGAAGTTTGTGTTGGTTCTGTTTTTTTTTTTTTTTTGTGTGGGGGGGGGGAGCGGGTTGGCATTTGGTGGGTTTGGTGGGTTTGGTGGGTTTGGTGGCTTGGTGGGTTGGTGGGTTTTGGGATTATCTTCGCCGCCTCGCCTGGCACTCCGGCTGTGGAACTGAGGCACGAGGAGTACCACCGCTGCCTGGCGGCAGTGCTGAAGGACTCCACGCGGGTGCCGGAGCTCTTCTCCAACGTCATGATGCCCCGGGCAGGCGCTGGGCGCTTGGCCAACTATCGATGGATGGGCGAATGATGGGGGGCACTCACGTCCCCCACCCCCGGAATCGCCGAAACACTAGCCTTTTCCCAAAAGGAGGTTTTGCGAATGATGGCGTTTCAGGTTCCTAACATTTCCGAACTTTGCTTCCTCTGCAAGCGGTGTGTAAGTCTTTGAGTTTATCGACTTGGGACTCTTGGGGCGGCACATGTCACTTTTGGAGCCGTGGACCTTTGGAACTTGCTGACCTTATTTCAGCTTCGCTGCTCGGGCTTCGTAAGAACGATAACGGAAAGGCTACGTTATGTGTCTCACTCTGGGCAATTCACCAGCTCAGCGATTCAGGGGCAAAACGAGCTCACGCATGAAGGTCTGCCGCTTGGGCCTCCAGTAGTGCCCTGCCTTCCTCTCCTTGAGGGGCTCGCCCTTGAGAATCAAGTACCCCAAACTCGGTTGCCCCTTGTATCCTTTCTCCTTTTCGTCCACTGAAGGTTGTTTGGAAGGGGGGGGTCCTCTTCCGTTTTGTAGGCGCCGATGCTCCCACCACGCGCTGGGACATGCGCCTGCCCATGGAGCCCGTGGTGTACCGAGCCCTGGGGGCGCTGCTCGGGCATGAGAACCTGGAGGCACACCTCGTGTGGCCATTGTTCACCTGGATGTGCGTTCCGTTTTGCAAAAAAATAATAATAAAATAAAACGAAAGCAACCGTTCCGGGCGAACAGTTGCTGAAAGAGTGAGGTGGGGTAGCTGAAGGTTTGAAAGGGAGATGATTCAGTTGGGCCATGACCGAAACAGGGACAATTCCTGGTCCAGACTATGGAGTGTTTGGTCTTGCCATGTTCACAGCACCCTTTGTCTTGGGTGGGTAGAGATGGCCATGTTGCGCTGGCAACTTTCACCTTTGCCCCAATGGGTGGCTCCAACCTTGTAACAAACGTTTGTTTCATTGGCTTGCTGTGTGATCAATGATGCACACTTTCACATTCTCACATCCGTATGTGTGCCTATGCCCGGAAGCAATCTATCATGCTTCAGGGGGGAATAGAGGGAAGCCCGTTTCATTGCATATGGGGTGGCCTCACAAAACCCAAAGTGGGTTCGACTGAAGTGGCAACCCCGAAAAAGGTACCCTCGAAAGAAGAGGCACTCAAAAGAGAAAACTACGGCGATATGTGATGTGTGGTTTTACCAGGGAACCCACCTCACAAGTGCTTGGTGGACATAGTGACATAATGTTTCACCGGATTCTGTCCGTTTCGGATCCCCGGTAAAGTTTACACCGTATAAGGAGCCCTGACCTTTGCTTTCCTCGTGGGTCCCGGGCCCGTCGCCTCGCGCGCTGGGATTGCCAGGGCCTGGGCGCGGGCTTCGAGGACCTCGCGGGGAAGGACGCGGAGCTTTGGGAGCTGGGGGTCACCGTCACAGAGCCCGGGGCAGCGCCTCAGCGCTCGAAAACTTCCGCCCGTTTTCGGTGGAGTTTCGGATTTTTCTTTGTAAAGGGTGCAAACGGTCCCGTTTTCACTCTCTGAGTTCGACTTTTTTGCTTTTTGGAAGACCACTTTGGTAGCCCAGCTCCCCCCAGTAGTGCCCTTTTACCGTTTCTTTTTTGGTTGGGAGGGGGTCTGTGCAGTTCCATGTTAAGATGTGTTTTATTGCTGGTGCTCAGTGGGGCATGAGAAATGGAATGAATCTGGGGGTTCCCTGAAGAAACCCATAGGAGATGGTAGGGGTCATTCCCTCAATTTTTTGCTGGTGTGCGCCAAGTTTCAGATGCAAACAGAAGGAACACAAAGTTCATGTTGCCTGTTGTCTGGGTGTTGAGCGATCCCACCGGACACCTTAAAATAAGCGAGACTCATGTAGAAGTGCACTTGGACACCGTATCTTATCTCAGGTGTTGGGATTGTAGAATTTGCAGATGCGAAAGTAGATGGCGCAATTCCATTGTGGAGTAAAGGGAATGACAGAACTTTGAACCAATATGGGGGATTGAGCCATGCACTTGCACCCAACCATACCCTCTTTTCGACAATCATGGAAGTGGACAGGAAAGTATTGGAAGACTGCATGTTTAAAATAGGCTTGCCTTCCAATTACATGATTGTGGAAAACATGGTGTTTTCCTGCCTGCACACGGTTGCCTGCGTTTGCCGCAGGGGATGTTTCGGATGATTGCAATATGTTGTAGTTCTCACTTCCAGAAGATTACGTTAGTGGCAAACAGCAAGGGTTGGACTTTTGCTGGCCAATCCACTCAGGAAGCGAGTTGCAATTTGGGCGTTGGATGCATCCTCCAAAGAACCCGGAATTCTGTGTCTCCGGCTATTTTATAGCGAGCTCACCGCGCCGGGGGGTACAACGAGCGATTCCAGCCATGTTGTAGATCCTTTACTTCGGGATTCAGTTTGTATTTCCAGTTTTGGACATATTGTACACAAAACATATTTGTTTTGTGTTGGTGGGTGTTTGTCTTTCACGACGCTGTTTGTCGTTGTTGGGATTTGTTTGTCAGGACTTGCTCCTCCGTTCTTTGGAGTGGTTCCGTGTTTGAAGCTGTTTCTCCCCGGATCGCTTTTTGTTGGAGGGAGGTTGATTTCTTGGCTTTGGGGCGTCCAGTTGCCAGGGGCAGAAAACCCAATCATCTCCTTGCTTCGTTTCGTCATGCCCCGCGAGAGCATCTCCCAAATCCCGCTGGCGCATCTAGTCAAGAATTCTGATCCTAATCACTCCTGGGTGGTAGATAGCACATGCCAGGTCATTTGTTCACAAAAGATGGATAACTTGATTTGTCACGACCCACTCGGCACCCTGTTCTTCCTAGTTTCATACGGATTATGGTGAGGGTCCACCCTTAAGCCTTCATTCTCCGTTGCCTCGAGTTGTCCAGCGTGGCTGGGGCCTGAACAGATATCACCAGCACCTCGCTTCCATTAGTAGTCTGCCTTAATGCTTAGACCAGGGGTTCCCATTTTGTGGGACTGCTGGTTTGGTCGTTTCCCATTTACCCTCCACAAGAATGTCCGAACCACCAATTCATGATGAGCCGAAAGGCCAGGTCAGTGGTTCCATAGGAAGACCGAAAGCAAAGTTGAACAACGTATCCTAGGCGCTGATTTGGACCCTCCCTTTTCAGAAACCCAGTTCAAGCCCAACAAATCTAGCAAACCACTATCTGCCTTCACCCATCCTCAAATTCCTCATTCTTCCCGTCCCCCCTGAGCAGCATATGGGGTTGCAACCCATTTCAAGGAGGGCACCAAACTTGGACTCGCTTCCAAAACATCCCAACCTCAGGTACCTCAGGCGGTGCACTGCGACGCCCCCGCGCGGTGCCTCTACACCGCCTTTGTCGCGCTCCAGCCCATCTCCTACGAGATGGGCCCCACCCACTTCTGGCCAGGCGAGGACGTGGGCGACTGGCGCGCTGGGGGCGCTCGCCTGGAAAGCCCCTTAGAGGATACCAGGATGCCGGCTGGAGCCGGTCGAAAGGTCACCCAAATAATTGAAAGCTTATTTAGGGGATCCCTTTGTAAAGCAGGTGGTGTTTGGATGTACCCCTCAAGGAAAAGCAGTTGATGGGTGCGCGCTTGTTGCTGCGTTTCTGGTTGGCGTATTGGGGTTGAAAAAGTACTGGGTCGAGACAGATTTGCCCTTCCACCCCGATTCCTTCCCCCTTGTGCAATGGCCAGACAAGCGGGTGCTCTGCGAGGTTGATCCAAAGCCTAACGCTGAAGCCGTTTAGATTCTAAGACGCAAGTGGAAAGTGGAAACCTTTCTTGATTGCATAGCAAGGCTGACAAATACGGGGCAGCGGTAGGATACCTGTTGCGTTGCGTGTCGGCACGCAAGCAAACTTCAGAATGCGCCTCTCGCGTAGCGCCCAACACAGCATGCCCTCCATTTGCTGTCTCATTTTGAGCCAGAACGACAGCCCTGAGGCTTTATCGGGTTTTCCCACCCACCGGATGGGAGGAAACCAAGCTTGGCCCATTTCATGGTGTAGATCCGCTTTTTGCGGGATGTCTTACCCATACAATATATCCTGATGTTGTTGCATAGTTTTCTTGAAGCCCCTTGCGATCTCCAGTTGTGCAGTGTCAGTCGTTTCTTTGTGGAGGGGTTCCCCTTAAGATCCCGAAAGGCATGTTGTCTTGTCCCCACGGCCGCTGGGCAAGCCAAGATTTCGTGACACATTTTGTTGGTTTTGTTTTTGTTTTGTTTCTCGCTGTCAGTTCGGGTCTCATTCGGCATGAAACACTTCACCGGACCCCGGTCTCCACTATCACCACTTGCACCTCCCAACCCGCAACGTTATGACTTAGGTGTCCAGTAGAAACGCATGAATCGCTAGGCCTGGATGGGATTGTCTTTGTTTTGCCAATGGCAGCTTTTTGCTTTTCTTTAACCTGGACTTGAGCAGAATGTGTTTTGCTACTTACATCAGGCTGCTATCAACCCCCTGGCCCTTTTTTTGCTGAAACGATAGACAGGGTTGGGCCAAACTGGCACAAGCCAACAGACTCGGCCCCCTTCAAAGGTACAGCAACAGAAGGTTGCAAATATGTTTGGTTCAAAAGCATAACTAGAAACATCCCTTTGGTTCCCCAAAGGTGATAGAAAGCGACCCGGGCCTGGTTGAAGCAGATGGGGTTGTCTCCAAATCAAAAAGCCCTATGGGCGGTTTCCTCTTGGTGTCCCTTCAAAACGACCCAAACGGTACCCTCAAAGAAAGGAACCACACCCAGGTCAGGTTAAGCCTATTTTAAAGGGTTGCCCTCTCTCGCACTAGCATGGCACCTGATTCGGGCTCCCCTCCAAGTCCAAGAGAAAAGTGATCTTCCAGGTACCGTTCCACAGCACGTTCGTTTTCGTCCCAGGTCCTTTGGCCAAGTGGGTATGGGTCAAAATTGAACCACCAGACCACCGCAGGTTTTAGTCCATGTTTCCATTTACTAGGGCAAGCCATTTTGGGGTTACCATATTTTTGACCCGCAGCCAAGTAAAACCCTCCCTTTGCAGGGCAAGGGCCCACACGGCAGGCACCAACACCGTGGTGGCGCACCGGCGCTTCGAGGCAGCGCCCCGGGAGTTCCTGGAGCCTTTGCAGCCTGTCGCGCCGCTGCTGGATGCAGGCGACGGGCTGGGCCAACGAAGTTACCCCTCCGCAAATTTACATGGAGCCCCAAAAAGTTGTGGGTGTGGGAAGGGGGGGGAGGAAGGAGATTCCTCTAAAAATTGGGTTTGGCTTGGGATGAGCTATGAGATTAAATGTTGTTGTTTTGTTTTCTCTTTCCTTGTTTTTTAAGTGTAGTCTGTTTTGGGCGGGTTTTGAGGGATATTGAAAGGAGTACCACCATGCTTGGAAAGTAGGGTTTTAGGAAAGCTTTCTATTGTGCCAGTGATAAGATATCAAAAGTGTGAGGATGACCCATACTGGTTTCGCAGCAAGGGTCATGTTTCACGAGAAGAGCTTTGGGAGCGTCCGCTTATCATACAAACATAGCATGAGTCCGGATGAGAAGCGCCCTTAGATCTGCATATCATACATTATATCATATATACATATATATATATATGTATATTCATTTCTATCAATCAATAGGTTTGGAGAGAGAGAGAGAGAGAGAGAGAGAGAGAGAGAGAGAGAGAGAGATATTGACAGAGAGAGACAGAGAGAGAGAGTCAGAAACTGACAGAGAGAGAGAGAGATAGAGAGACAGAGACAGAGAGAGAGAGATAGAGATGGAGAAAGATACATATAGATATGCCCGCATACACCACACATAGTTGCATACATGTTTTTGGAGTGACACGACCCATCCCTGGTGATTTCCATGTCGAGTGAGGAGATGCCGTGCTCTACGACAGCCGCGTGCTGCACTGCGGTGCCGGCAACGCCTCGCAGCAGCGGAGGGCGCTGATGTATGTCACCTTCCGGGCGGAGCAGTTTGGATGACAAGCTGACATGGGGTGTTTCCTCCAAATATCCAGACGGTGGTTTTCCTTCAATACCTAGTTGTTTCTCCTATAAAATTCCCAGTTGTTCAGTGGCACCCATATGTCCTCTAAATCATGTTAACGGCTTAAACAGGGCTCCTTCTTCTGACGTACATCATGGAAAGTCAGCACGTACTCAACCTTGAGGGAGGTCCTTTGCGGCTCTCCGCATTTCCAGTTTGGGTGTGACGTTTTTGAGGCTTGAAATCCAAAGGGGAACCAAAATGAACACCGAAAATTATTTTCGGGCCCCGCTACTTCACACATGCCCGTTGGCGCAGTGTAGGAATTTGCCCAGAGCTTTCCTACACCAGGGGCTCCTCAAAGCGGCTGGTGCCTCCCTTTTGGCCTTTCAGTTTTAAACCATGCAACGGAGGGCCTTTGTGACACAGACTCGTTCAGCAAGCCGTCGGAACCTCCAGTGTATGTTCAATTGGGAGGGGCGGGGGGGGGGTGAAATGGTCTCCAAGTTTCTCATGTCCATTAGGGCAACTGCATATGTCCACTCACACAAACATCCGTTTGCCATTTTCGGTTGCTCCCAATTTGCTTACCCTCCTGCAGCTCAGCTATGCCTTCTTGTGGGTTCTATGGTTCTATGTTGCGTGTGCTGTTGCTGGTGATTTGGAGCCAGTGAAAACGTTCCCTACAAATTAACATGGAGCCCAAGTATCGGGTCCGCCCAAACGGCGATTCCTCTCAAAAGGATCGCTAGACGTGGCGTTCAGCCCAGGTCAGCGGATGCTGAGAGCCTGGGGGTACGTCAGCACTCCATCCGGCCGGATCTGAAAGGCCGCGTTCGTTTGCGCCAATTCCGGCCTTAGGCCGAGCGGGCTGGGCCATATGCGCTTGTCTCTGCATGCTGGCTTCCTTTTGGATTTCCTTCTTGAAACAGCCAGAAACAAGGTCCTGCAAAGGGCGCGCCCATTCCAAAGCAAGAAAACCTGCATACCCCGATGTTTCGTCTAGCATCCCGCAGGCTCGCGCCCTGTGACACCTCTGGGGGAAGACAGCCGCTTGTTCATACTGGTTCCTTAGTTCCCTGGCTGTGACATGCACCCCTTGTGGGGAGAGGACATGGTATGAACAACAGCAACTCTTTCGGGATCACTGAGTCAAGGGCAACAAGAATATGTAAGACAATGATGAAATGCGTCGTGCGTCTCTGCAAGCGGCCCACCCTCACTTTCTACGCGGGCCAAAATGTTTGTCCTTTTTCATGGTTGGAATGCCCTTTAGAGTGGTTGGTGGACAGAACCCTCCGTGTCTTGATGGCCAGGCTATTTACGTCGGTTTTGGTGGACCCATTTAGTTCCAACAAACGAGTAGTTTTGGTGTAAGAAACCCTTTTGCGATATGGGTCTGGTTTGGGAGACACTGCACGTCTTTAAGCCCCAAGCAGCAATGATGCGCACTGCTCGGTTTTTCGGGACGCAAGGCATCGCCCCGCGTAGCTTTGCCACGCGCATTGGGAGTCATGGGGTGGGCTGCATGCCGCGTACAGAAGGTCAGAAGCATGTCATGCCGGCGGCATGTTTGCCTACACCCTCCGCGCCCTGCGCCTGGGTTCCTGCTCATGGTTGTGGTACTGGTTTGCCAAATTCTGTGATGCACCTATTAGGAACACCTCTTTTGGGTTACGCAATGGGAGGGATGTGATGCCCACCGTTTTCCACAACCGTGCTGCTGCTCATTGCCGGGATTTCGCCATGCCAAACTGGCAGGCCAGCTGTATGAGAATGGGCGCTCGGCACAAAATACGCGGGCGATGTTTGCATATTGTCTTTGAGCTTACGGAAACTACTTTCTAAACCCCAAAGGGGATCCGGCAAATCCTCTAAAGATGCTGGTTTAGGTGTCCATGGCAAGTCAGATTGGGGGCCACCAGTTTGTGCTTTTTTGTAAATATGTTTTTTGCATTGTCCTCTGGTTGGTGCTCGGAGTGGTTGTTATGCACTGTGATCCTTGCAAACGCTTCTTTGAATTTCCCACGGTTCAACATCACACATCACCTGTTGTGCCAATCTAAAGCGAGGTCCCTTTTGGCGGGGTGAACTTTAGAGGGGAATATAAGGAGCCCTGGTATGTTCCGTTTTTGAGTGACTCGCCATCTGGACCTTCAGTGGCGCCCTTTTCCCTCGCATGGGTTGTCGCTGCAAAATGGACCAGCCAAAAGGGTGGCCCTTGTTCCCTGCCACTGGAGGAGGTCTGGATCAAAATGAGCTTCCCTATGAGTCGGTTGTGTTTAGGGTGAGGATGCTGGGAAACCCTTGGCTATTCATCTCCTTTGCAATCATGGATGGCAGTGGTGCTTTCAAGGGGACGAATCAGCATCTCCCTCAAAGGAACGACAAGGGGATGGATCATGTGTAATTTGTCCAGAGGGCACACATCATTTGAATGATTTACCAGATGCCATATTTTCTCCACCACCCGCAGCTGACAGCTGACCTTCAGCCATTAAGAGGGTTTTCGGCAAAACTTTCCGGCAGCTTGCGGAGGCTGAACGTCATCTTCTACTCCAACCGAGGGTTGCCAGCTCAGAGCGGTTCGCTTCCAACTCGGTAGCAGGAAACTCATCTCAATTTTGCTGAAGTTCACTGAATATGAACAAACAAAATCTGATCTGGGTTGGGGGAGTAAAGGCTAAGGTGGAAGAATTGGTTGGATCTGGAGCTTTTTGCTTCCTTTCGGGGGTCTATTGGGGCCTGCTCACAGCTTGGCTCCTAGGTCAGTTCTTGAGACTTCGACTCAGGGGGGAAGGGATGCGGGATTTGTCTCACGAACCAGCAGCCGGGCCCACGTCAACGTGAGACCCTTACCATGAGGGGTGTTCATACGCAGCGCTTGTTTTGGCCGTGACCCTTTTGTGACTCCAAAGCGTTGGCACCTTCCAACATGGCGCCCGAGCGCCAATTGACCAGCCAAGGGAAGTGAGGCTTTTGTGTTTGCCACTTTTGTCGCCAGTTGGCAGGTACCAAGCCCAGCTGTGGCCGGGGGTGTTGGGCACGAAATTACGGCACATAGACTCTAATGCACGTCTAGATCGCTGCATCTTCTCCAACGTGAGACAGCACTCCTAGTGTCAACAAACAAATTCTTCCAAGAAAGGGGCTGAACTCAATCAATCAAAAAGCACGCTCCTTCTAGAGTGCCATATTTGGGGGTTGCAAAGGCACCCCTGACTGCTGGAGGAAGATGTGTTGTGACAAATCCGGAAGGGGACCTAGTTAGTACCCGAGAGAGAGAGAGAGAGGAAATCAAGAGAGCGCATGCGTTGCCACGCCTGCCGCGTGCTTTCGATTTAAGGCTGCCCCAAAAGGGCAACAGCCGCATTGTGGGAGAGGCAGGCGGTCGTGGTGTAGCTGTGAAAATATTTCCCGGGGCAATTTTTGACCGTTGTTCTTGCCGTTTTTGGGTTGCCCCCTTGTATGGTGTCGCCAGCACCCCGTTGTTCTCCACATGATTGTGGACAATTGCTTGTTCGGTCGCCACCTTCTGTGATACCAAGCAGATGCATGAGCTATGTTGATCGGAATCAACCACGGACTTTACGGTGTGACAATGTATCACACGGCGGCCATATTTTTCCACAAGCAGGGCTACAAGCAGGGCTGCCTGGGCCTAGGACGCGGTTTGCGTTTGGTCGTGGAACGGGTCTTTTGGCTGGGCTCCTTAATTTGGCAATCACGGCTGTCGAAGTCGACCACTTGCCAGAAATCAATTGCTGCTGTTGATCATGGTGAAATACTGGCTCCGCGTCGCATTCACGAGAGAATCCCTAACTTTTGAGGAACACACCACCCTACTGATCCGCACAGTTTATTAATCCCGGGCCAGCATGATCGGGGATGGCCAGGTACGGATCACGCTGCCGCAGATAGAGAAGCTGAAAGAGCGCATGGGCCCGTTCTTGAGGCCAGGCTATGCCGGCGCAAGGGCAACTTCTGGGCAAGTTACAACAAACATACAGGGGGGAAAGACCAGCTCACCCATGTTGAAGGTCCTTTACTTGGGGATTTCGTGCCTTCAGTTCATGAACTTTGGTTGAAGTTGCAGTTCATGAAGTTACAGTAGATGCAACAGTTCCCTATGTTGGTGTCATCATTGCCCTTCCCAGCAGAAACAGGACTGTGCCACCTACTTTCAACGTGGCGTAGTGATGATTTCTTAGGAATTTCCTCCGGACGATTCATCCGAATGCAACATAATTTAGGTTGCCCCCCCCCCCCCCCCCCTGAGATTGGGGCCTTGTTAGTTGCCGTTGGTTGGATTCCTGCCCTGAAGCTGGTTGGAGTTGTTGTTTTCGCCATACAGTTGTTGAAGCCGAAGCCGTGGTTGAATATGTATAGAGTGACCTACAGGGGGCGCCATGTGTTAAACCCGCAGTTCTTTGTGGAAGCCCAGTAAAGTTGATCATGGCAAATTCTCTTTTTTTTCTTCGTTATCCACAAAGCTGATGCACCTGGGGGAAGAGTGGGGGTGGTACCGAAGAGGGTCCACATGAGCATAAACCACATTGCTTTGGGCGGGGGGTTCGATCGCCCTGTTCGGCCTGGATTGGCTTGCTGCTGCACATGGCGTGGCGGCATGCTGTGTCACCTGTTTGGAATTGTCATTTGACACTCCTGCGTTGAAGGCTTGGGGGGGGGGAGCAGACAATACCCTGCAAGAAGACTTGTACAGAGCAGCATCGTCAAAACGGCACGTCGGCTCTGGCAAACGGTGCCGGCCCTCAAGTTGATGTGTGGCTGAGCCCTCGAACCTTTGCCATGATGTTTCAGAGGTGGAATGTTTGATGGCCCGTTCGCGCGCAGGTACTTGGAGCGGGAGGAGGCTCTCATTGCAGTAGCCTCGTCTGGGTTGAGTAGTGGCGTGGGGCCACTAATTCAACGGTGGATACCGTTTAAACAATTAAGCATCAGGGGACGAAGCGTCCATTCAGGGGACGAAGCGTCCATTGATAGGCCCAGTGAACCTTGAGATGTGGAAGGTTCCTTTCCTGGGAGTCAGTGACATTTCTTATCAAAAGTAAGCCACTCCTTCCGCTTCCTCAGCAAGCAGCCGGCGGCAACTGAATGCGCCTAATGCCTAAGGCGTTTTTGCTCCAGGTTTCGAGCCCAGGTTTGGAAAGGATTGGTGCGCGCGAAAGAGGGGATTCTGAATGCTAGAAACCAGGGGACCAAGGCCATAACCTACTTGCCATGGGCGCAAGTCGGCTCAGTTGCGCAAGTAATCGGGTTTTCATCAGGACCCAGCTGGAATGATGCGAGCGAAGAATAGAAGTGGCCGAAAACGGGAGACCACCGCAAAGGGGGGGGCTTCTGTTGTTCTTTGTTTCTCAAGCAAAAACTGAAGGGAGTCCCCAATTTGCAGAAACACAATTGGAGCTTTGCAAATTGTGAACGCCTGGGCCGGGAAACAAGCCGGGGACCGTTTTGCCACACGGGTCTGCGTCAAAATTCAGGACTTGTTTTGGTAATTGGGACCGTCACAAGAACAAATCATGACCTGCCCACCTACTAGCACAGAACCATCAAGAAACCCTGCAAGAGAAACACGGTCTTCCAGGTCTCCCACGTTTGTGGGAAGCCTTTTGGGAGTTCCTTAAGATACGTAGCGGATAAGCCGAGTTTGTTTTTACTAAATTTGTAACTTGTCTAGTCGAAGCCTGGCTTATTTCCAAAAATACGTTCGGCTCCGACCTGGTAAGCCACAGAAACATGCCTTCAACATAATACACCACACGCAAACATACAAACGAACGAACGAACAAAGGAAGGAACGAACAAACAAACAAACAAACAAACAAACACACACAACA